ATTATGTTACATTCTTTTATGATGAGAAAAGAAGTGAGATTATATTCACACATGCATGCAACAATTTTTACCTGAAAATGAAAGAAATCTAGTAGCTAAGTAATTGTCTTGTATTGGGGATCCTTTTTCCCCACAAAAAGGAAGTGTATTTGTTTGGATTCCTAGGCTAAAAAAAAAAAAAATAAATAAAAAATAAAAAAACAAAACAAAACAAAAACTGTATACTTAAGTATATAATAAGCTGACAAGATTTGATAATTGAAAATTGGTAAAAATTAATTTTTGGAATAACACAGCTTGTGTAAATAAATAAATAAAAAGGTGACAAGAGTCATTGTTTAGACTAAACAACTGTATTTAGTGTAAACAGTTCTAATTTTATTGTTTTGTTTGCATTAACCTCCTGAGATTTGTAACAAAAAAACAAAAAAAACAACTAACAATGAATGATAAATACCAAACCTTTTTAAACTAAATGCTAATTTTCATGGTGACGGACTTTGTGCTTATATTAAGGATGGGTTCCCATGTGGCAGAGATCAAAAAAAAAAAAAGACAACCTGGATTTCCTGTTCATGAGCTTTTGCATGGTTCTTGACCCTAATATGTCTTTCATTTTCACTGTCTATCATTCACAGGATGACAGAATTGCAATGTTTGACAAAATGACTGAGGAGATTGATGATATTCTCACTGACCATTCATGAGATTGCATTCATATTTGTGGCAACTTCAATACTGACCACAAAAAGTGGTTAGTCCATTCAATCAGAACTGATGAAGAAGGCAGATGTGACCAGAATTTCTATCATTTATGATTTGACTCAGAGAATTGATAAGCCCACTCAGGTTCCTGACATCACACAAATCTTCTAGAACTATTTTCTCATATTTTGCCCTGAAAAATTCTCTGCTAAAGTTCTACCTCCGTTGGTCACTTCTGACCACTCGCTGATCAATGTCAAAGCTGACGCCAAACTGAAAGGTTGGAAACAAAAAACTTGGTCTCTGTGAGTTATGCAAAATCTCAAATAAAATTCAGAATAGAGACAAAACTATCATAAATGGCCCTAAAGTTATTACATTCTCATATGACAAGCAAGGCTTTTTACAATGAATTTTGCCTCTAATTCTATGTTAGATAATAAAGAACACTCCTTACCAGACTTCCCCTTTCCCATGGACCACAAACTTTGTAATACATCTATCATGGCAAGAGTAGCTTCCAGACTTATCAAAAACCTTGACTCTAAAAACACCTGTCTGGATAAAACTCCAGTGGTTGTTCTTCAGAATATCAGCCACAATCTTGACAAAAACTGTTTAACCAAGATGGTTCCCAATCTATGGAAGATAACAACTGTTTTTAAGAATGTAAGCGAGCACTTATCTGTCACAATATTGATCCATTAGCTTCCTTAATGTCAACAGCAAACTCTTTGAATCTATAATCAACAAGAAGGTTGTTGAACACCTCAACAGGAACAATCTCCTGAGCAATAACTAATATAGATTTTGTTCTGCTAGATCAACAGCTCATGTCTTAACTGTCATTGCTCACAGAATAAGTAAAGCGCTAGACACATTCATCATTAAGATTTACATTTACATCAAAGGCATTCGACAAGTTGAAGCATCGGGGGTTTCTTCATAAACTCTAAAGATATGGAATTTCTGGAAAGGCTTTCTCAATTATCATCCTTCCTAATAGGTAGTTTCATAAAGGTCATTAAGGGCTATTCATCAGAAGCCCATGAGATCAGGGTTCTCTTCTCAGTTTTATCTTCTTTCTGCTTTATATTAATAATCTGCCTAAGAACATACTCTGATCCTTACTGAATATCTATGTGGATGATACAACAGTTTATAGGCATACCTTCAAAAACCTGGATGACCAAAACCTGAAAGCTCATCTCTCCACTGACTTTACCCTGGCAGCTCAATGGGAGAAGGTATGGCTTGTAAAATTCAATATATCCAAAATTAAACTAGTAACATTTTACCATCACCAAGCAGACACTGATGTTTCACCTATCAGGATGAATGGGTGTTCTTTTAATGAGGCTCCTTGCCTTGAACGTCTATTGGGACTCAAGCTCACTTCAGAACTAAAGTTTGAACTATTGTTAAACATGCTGGAAAAATAGTCAGTTGATTTTACCACTCCAGTAAGTATCTGTCTCCCACTTCTATACTCTATCTTTACAAGAACCAGATCAAACTAAATAAACTGCATTTATTACCTTCTCTTATGCTTATGCAACACCATACAGTAACCTATACCATGAGTGGCTCTTTTGGGCCTTGCACTAGGTGAACATTAATAAATATCTCTATCTATAAAAGGCAGGATGTGTGTGTGTGCGTAACGAATGCACGGCCACAATTTTCGCCAGATTTGGACCAAAATTTACATGCACAAAGTTAGCAGGAAGGCCAAGACCGACTTTGCATTTCCCAACTCCCATTGATAGTGGAAATAAATTTTTTCATGCTTCTACGGCAGTTTTCATGTAGTTTGCGGCCATTTTGTACTGGACAGAGTGAGAGCCTATAGCTGGCCGCCATGAATAGGCAGGAAGATTCTATTGGTCAGTGTGAGAACCAACAGCTGACTGACACAAATGTTAACTAGCATGCAAAAAAAAAAAAAAAAAAAAAAAAAAATCGATAGCTGCATTCATCACAAGTGGGAAAAATTTAAATCTGCATGGCACTTTACTCCTATTGGCTCATTCGCTTGCTTAAACTCAATGTTGATTCTGATTCCACAGAAATGGGTTGAGTGTGAAAAAGTATTTGTTGTTAACATTCTTTTTTCATTCGGTTTTTCCAGTTACAAGTCCTTTTTTAAAGCTGATAGTTTTGTGTTCATTTTGTTTAGTTCTTTTTTCGTAACAGATTTAATGTTTAGTATAGAACTTAGAAAAAATTTGCAGTGTGAGATAGGCAAGAAGTAAGGCATGTAGCAACATCAGCGCGGCAAAGGGCACTCCTTTAAGGGCAAGGAAGGACAAAAATATTTTAAGTCAAGTGATAGCGATTGCTGTAGGAGTCATACGATTTTTGAATCAAGCACAGGCAATGCTGCTAGTGTGTGTGTATATATATATATATATATATATATATATATTATATATTCCTCACTCTCACTTCATCTTTCATTCATATCACATTCATGATAACTATTTTATTAACTCCCTATCTTGAGTGACTGTCAAGCCTTGTATGGAGGTGAACTTTAATATATATCTTAAGTAATTTTTTCTGTTTATTTACTAGTGTTTTTAGTTTCAGCATTAAGACAAGAGCAGAGACAATTTACTGAAAAACTTTAAATCTTTTTAATTTAATTTTAAATTTAATTGACTGGACTAGGACGACTATAATTTTTTTAATTTTTATTTTTTTACTTCTTGGACACTCAGTAAGTATCGAACACTCGAGTTATTGTTAATAAACCAAATGTCAAAATTGAAAGGAACTCGTAAGCTAAAAAAAAAAAAAAAAAACAATTCCAGCTGTGAGTTGTCCAATGAAGAGTGAAATACAACTTAATAAGAAGACTAAGTAAAAAAAAAAAAAAAAAATTAGTTTCATATCATTCAGGAAGGAATGAAAATACAGAATCAATTAAGTAAGTAAGTACTTAAAATAAAAAAAAATCTTTACTTACGTCCTTTTTATTTTACTTTTGAATGAATTTATTATTGTTGGGCCAAAAAGATTTTGGTCGAAATGGCGAATTTAAATCACGATTTTAAGACTAAAAGCCTCCTTAAATTTTTATTTTTAACTTAAGATATCGAATGAGAAACCTAAGTGCATATTTTGTTCCTGTAATAATGGTGCAATATTAATCGTTATCCTCTGTCTTCTTAAAATTTAAGACTTAGATCCTGTTCTTTTACTGTTCTCGCTCCATAATAATGTTTTGTTCTTATACTCAGTAACTTCTTGAGTTTTAGTGGCTTTGTTGCCTTGCTTGGGGTGAAATAATTAAACAAAAATGAAAAATAGGGTTTCTTTGTTTTAAAAAGTATTCCTGTTTGCTTACCATTTCATTTCATTTCAATCATTCATTTGCGTGCATTTTATTGGAAATGAGCTATGATGAATAGAATGTGTTTGCTTTTATTTGACACGAAAGTTACAATTAGAACACTCTAAAAATAATTAGAATTACAAAAAAAAAAAAAATATTATTAAAAAAATAAAATGCAGTTCCGACAACAAACGTGGGTATCAGTGAAGTCCGATTTTCGATCTGTATTTATTTATTTTTAAAATATGTTTAAGTTTAACAATAAAACAAAATTGACTTGAAATTTTAATTGTTTATATCACATAAAAAGGAAAGGAAGACGATTTTTTGATTAAATTAATAATGAATGTCGATCTCCGGGAAAACCACAAAATAAATGTGGGCTTCTAAAAAATAAAAATTAAAATAAATGCAACTAATAAAATTATATACATTCCATAGCAGAACAAAATAAAAAGTCAACTTAAAATTTATAAAAAAAAAAAAAACAACTTAAATTGCTAAAAAAAAAAAAAAAAAAACTGAATAAGGTTTCGTTCTAAGTTTGAAATTCATATTTTTTGCAGGGGGAGGGGTCAAGGAAATTTAATAAACTAGAAAACATCAAAACAGGACCCACCTCCCAAAAATGTGCTTCAACCATTTCAAAATTTTTTACAGACACTTAACAATTAACATGTATTAATTATTGTATGTAAACTAAACAAAATGTTTATTATCTCTAAGCTTAGTTTGGCACAAGGTCACAAGTATGAAACTCCTGGCTAGGGTCGAATTCACTACTCAGCAGTAACGGTCAATCAAACCATTAACCCTTGCTGGGGTGAACATTTTTTGTTGGGGTAGGATGCCCATTTTGAATAGAAAACTAGAAGAAGCCTTTTTAGTTACTTTTTTTTTTTTTTTTTTTTTTAAAATTTCACTATTGAATTATTATTTTTTTTCATTCACTTACCTCGGCAGTGGTGACGGCCATTTTTTCTGAATCATAAATACTAGCAAGGGCTCTCTTTGTACTTTCTAGCTGTCTATCTTCAGAGGCATCTATTTGGCTTAGCAAATGTTGTCGTCGGTCCTCAATGTTTGGGTAAGCACCACCCCCAGATTTTCTTCGAGAACCCCTCAAGAATTCTTCATCCATCTCATCATCAACAAAGAATGGGTTGGAATTATTGGAATACATCGTCGTTGTTGTGGTGGTGGTAACTAACCCTTAAGTTGATGCTACGAAAAAAAATGCTGTTACGACCAACAGCCAGAGACAAAATAATACTGTAAACCGGAGAGAGATTTTTGTTCATTTTATACACAGGAGAGCGACTTCGGTGATTATCTCCCCTTAGTTCGACTTTGATCATCGGATATCATATTTATTCACTTGATTAATTTGTTTACAAAACCTTATTTAGATTTTCTATTTTTCATATTAAACGCATTTCACAGGCAGTTTCTTTAATGTAATCTTAAAAATTAAAAACATTTACTTAAGAATCTATATTAGATATTTACTCAATAGAGCATTTTTATATTGCATAAATTCAACAGGTATTTTTAAAATATAATCTTGCAAATTAAAAACATTAACTAACTTATAGCTTGTCAGTGACCACTATAGTAAATTACCTGATGATTAAACTCATTTCCAATTACTGTTGAGTTTAATCTTTGAATTCAAAACCGTGGACTAAGCTATAGGAAACCACTACACAGTCTTTTTCTGGAAGTCATGACAATTCACAAATAATAAAAGAAAAGAATCTGGGAAGAACCATGATCAGATATATCTCAGTCATGGCATAAAAAAAGCATCTCCTTATGAACTGATAAAATAGAGTAAAACTGTCATGTTATGGATGAAGTTGGGTTGATTGATTTTACATGATGGTTTATTTAATGTTGAAATCTGTCTTTTTTTAATTATTATATTTGAGTTTATAAGCATTTACTTGGTTCAGGTACTGGCATTGGTGATTTATATTTAAATCTAAGCATTTATTTGGTACTGGCATTGGTGATTTATATTTAAATCTAAGCATTTATTTGGTTCAGGAATAGACTAATATTATTATATATTTATTTGAGTCTATAATCATTTACTTGGCTCAGGGATTGATTATTTATAATTGAGTCTATAAGTATTTACTTGGTTTGAGGATAGATATATTACAAGCAAAATATTTGAGACCACTATGCATTTTTTTAAAAAGCACCATAAAATGTGATATTTTTGTATTTTTTAAAGTAAAAGGGAAAGTTTCAGTGACTACAGAGTATTTGCTTTTATTTTTCATTCTTTCTCTTGGCTCCTCTTGCTACCAAAAAGTTCAGAGTAGCAGTAAGAGGAGAGTGTATCCAATTCAACACATACTAATTCAATGGGAGAGAGGCCAAGTCATAATTTCGAAAATTTTGTTCCTTTTTTTTTGATTCAAGGTAATTTTGACATAATTTAGAAGAGCATTTGAGACGTTTTTTTGAAAGGTGAATTTTTTTTTCAATTATACATAAACCAGGTGGTACAGCATGTCTTTGCAAAATTGAATGATATTGTTCTTTTTTAGTGAGTCCCTCAACCTGAATCAAATCTCCAACCCTTTCTCCCTCCAAACACCCAATACCATAACAGACCCACCACAATGTTTAACTGTTGGAACAACACATTCATCACCCAGTTTTTCTCCAGGCTTTCTTTTCACATATACCGCAGTAACAGAAATTTTATTTTTTACTTTAAAATATACCTCATTTTAAGGTGTTTTTTTTTAAGAACTGCAGGGGAGACCCAAAATCTTTTGCCTGTAGTATAAATATTAATTATTTATATTTGAGTCTACTGTAACCATTAATATTGTTCTCGAGTAGACAAATATTGGTCATTTTATTTGAGCCTAAGCATTTATTTAGTTCAAGAATAGGTAAATATGATAATTTATATTTGAGTCTTTAACAAGGTGATAACTATGTATCACCTTGATCAATAAGCATTTACTTTGTAGGAGGCAACTTTTTGGAGGTTTCTTATTCTTCTCTATAGGTTTATATATATCACCTTGATCAATAAACATTTCCTTGGTAGGTGGCACCATTGTGTGTGTGGGGGGTTCTTGTTCCTCTATATAGGTTTATATATATCACCTTAATTGCTAAACATTTACTTAGTAGCTGGCACCTTTGAGAGAGAAATTCTTATTTCGCTGTATAGGCTTATATGTATCACTTCAATCAATAAGCATTTATTTAGTAGGTGGCACCTTTGGATGGAATTCTTATTCCTCTATATAGGTTGCAGTTGGCATATTCTATTTCCTGCTAACAGGGCAAATATGATGGTTATTAAACTCATCTTATAGACCAATTTACAAGTGTATTGAATTTGATCCTCACTCTATTCTCCCTCTGCTATGACCTTGTGTCAGACTATGTGACTACTAAGGTTTTACTTAAAAGTCATTCTATAAATCAATACCTGGTTAATTACATATTCTTCAGTATATTATTTTCTTTTATGTACCGTGTCCTTTGTAGCTGTTAATAAACTTATGTATGAGATGGTTTTAGAAAAATGAAAGAAAAGTAAGTAGCAAATAACAATGAGTAGAAATAATAAATATGAAAATACAATTCTTCTTCTTAGTTTTATTATTATAATTATATTATTTTATTATATTATTTTATTATAAAATTTTATTATAATTATATTATTTTATTATTTTATTATATTATTTTATTATAAAATTTTATTATAATTATATTATTTTATTATGCAAAATGGGAAAGTAAGAATTGTATAGACTTTGCCCTGTTTAACTGTCAAGTTTGTTTTCATTTTTCTGAATCTCCAAAGGTCTTTAATATCCAGTAATAGGATATCTTGTTAATGTGAGTGACTTTTTCTATTCACATTGTTTTGCCTTCCTGAAAATGTGAGTTTGACCTCAAGTAACCAAGTTTAACAAAGCAATGTTTATAATGTTAAAAGATGGTTAGTCTGTTTGTTTATTTATTTGTGTTTGATTTTTGTGTTTTATTCTGTAATACTATAGCATGATCACTTTCATTTTTCAATCAGCTTATTGATATTATTTACATGTTGAGTTTTCCCATTTAGATTCACCATTGTTGGCAAACATAAGTAAAAAAAAAATAATGAGATCATAAAATTAAAGATTAATGACTGATGTTCATAATATAAATACCATTAGGACTGGTGTTAGGATTTTGCCTAAAAAACTCTAATATGTGACCTCTGTCTCTACTACATGTCGTATTCAAAGTTTCCCAACCTGTGCGCCACAATCCCTTGAAGGAAAATTGGGGGAAAGGGCAGCACTTTTTTTAAATTACCAAAAATCAAGGAATTATCCAATTTAAATGAAAATTTCATTACATATTCATTAATTATTTATTTTTTATAATGAATAATTTTTTTATTTTTAAAAAATCTAAGATGTTATTCTTTTTGTAATAAGCACCAATATTTTCATGACTAAATTTGAAAGGTTCACAAATTTTTACATTTCCATAAAGATTAATTGTTAATGCATCTCTGCTGAAAAAAATGTTTTACAAAGATTCCAATGCAACACAAACAGGATTGTCTTAAAAATTTGTTTTATAAACAGCATTTCAGTTTTGGGGAAAATTTTTCATGTGTTGAAATCTTTAAACATTTTAATTTTTTAAGTGATCATTTTCTCAGTTTTATCTTTCTTTGAAATGTAAAAAATAGGGACTAGAAATTTTATTTTAATTACTAGCCATGGATTTCTGGTTAGTATTAGTAAAAAAAAACAAATACAAAGATCATCCTTAGTGGATGAGCTCAGAATAAAAAATGATTTTACTGAGATATATTAACCAAACCCTCTTAATTGATTTAAAATAAATGTTCAGAAAGAAAATTACAATTTGAAAAAAATAAGCACTTCTGCCTCCCTTCCCCCCAATAGGAATGTGGACCCCCCCCACACACACACAGTTGAGAGGTTTGGGATAGTAAGTATCATCCCTGTCAATTATTATAGTTGATGACTGACAATACAACTTAGGTAGAAAAAAAATAAAAAATACAAAAAGCTGAAAACTAGTTCTTTTGGGGCTCCAACCTCATCAGGGTTTCCAGCATAGTACGCACTGTATTGGCCATGCAGATACATATGAAGAATAATAGATCACACATATTTACACAGCAGAGTGTAAGAGGAAACAAAAAGGGTGGCTCTTATATATAATGTGGAGGTACTCCTGTGTCTGGAAAAACCATCTTTAGATTCAAATGGGCTGAATTCATCCATTATGCCACAGGCAAGGACATACTCCACAAATAACGAGTCTTGGGTTTTCCTAAATTGAGGACTGTGAGCTGGAATTTTATTCTATATCTGGGAAAGATAGAATTCCCAAAGGGAAATGGAACCATGGACTTGGAAGCTGCTGGTAGAAGCAGATTTAGCCTTTGCTTGGGATGATGTGGTGGTCTGGGGGGAGGCTGGTCTAAAAAAACTTCTTGGAAGCAGATTTAACCTCTGCTCAGGCCAGTGGGGTTGGCTAAAGAAAAAAACCTTATTGTTTGATCACTGTAAATGAACTTAATTTTGATTTCTGTTTTTCATCACTGTATGGAGTTGACATCATGAAGCGGTTGTTATGTGACTTATGTGACATCTCCACCAAAGGGAGATAAGCACCTTTTGTATCCTTACAAGTCAATCAAAGTGATCTTTTTGTTAAGGTGTTATCTGTGCTTTGTTTTAATTACTAAATGTCAAGTTTGAAACTGTGCTTACATCATTGATAGCTGTGTACTATTAATTTTGTTCTTCTTCTCAATTCATAATAGTATGCAGGCATGTGGGGGGAACCTATTGTGCTACAAGACCTATTGACCCTGTTGAACAAAATAAAATTGTGATTATATTTAATTATTCTACATTTATTACTAGCTTAAAAGTCACACTCTGTGCAGATTTTTAAGCTAGCTCCAGTGGAGGGCTAATTGGTCCTCTGGCTCAAAACTAAAGAGACCTCTGGTCCAGCTTAGAAAACAGTAATGTTAATTTTGAAGAAATAACTTTAAATTCCTCAATTCGCTCCATGGAACTTCAAAACCTCACTTTAAGTCTGATTTGGCCAAAAGTCCAACTTGAGTCAAAAGACCAGTTTGGGCTGAAATTCCAATTCAAG